TCGTTATTTTTGCGCTTTCTAGATAAAGAAAAACATCGGCCGGTTACCAGATAGTTTGTATTGTCTCAGTCAAAAAAACGAAGCTAAAGCGATGGCCGAACAGACGGACGTAGGTGCTGACTCTTCGAGACATATTCAATGGATGTGGCAGTCGAATGCGGATCCATGGGATAACTCTCAAGCAGCCAAATGGAGTCATTATTCAGATGTGGAAAACTGCATTATCGAAGAAGCATTCATGGCTAAGCAGACTTGTGCCATGCTGGATGATTACCACATTGATTTTCAACATAATATTGAAATCTTCAACAATGATGACACAAAGCAGAGACCCGTCAAACGATTCATGGGCAACAGAGATGATATGCATTCACCAAAAGAACGTTTTATGCCTGATCCTATTGCTCCCAAACGTCCTTACGGTGGTCAATACGGTTGGATTTCACCCTTCATACTAGAAGTGAGAAAGGACCTGAAACTTGAACCAAAGCAATTACCTTCATGCGATGAAACAATCGTTCCAACTATTGTTGAGAAGGCTGCCCGTGGTATTGTTGAAGAAGGCAAAAAACAAGGAAAACAGCGTGTTGGTGAACGGTTGGCCAAGGATCTTTTGAACGTGAAAGAGAAGGGAATGAAAGAAGTATGGAAGTGTTGTGCTCGTCTTTACACACGAGACAGTTTTCTCTGGCGAAAACTGAATGAGGCTATGCGATTGATCGGAAGCGATGAGCACGAACACATCTGGCGAAATATGATTCGCACATTAGGACCCTTTTGTCTACTTCTCTGGGATAATCCGATCGACAATAAGGCAAACACAGGAAAAGAACTACTCTATCGAGGAGCTCAACTGACCGATGAACAGATCGCCACTTACACACGCTTGTCTCAGCGTTCCAATGAATATCGCTCATTTCAAGCGTTTACTTCATGCAGTCGAAATCGCACAGTAGCTGGTTTTTTAGCGGCAACACCATATTCATTATGGAAGTGAAATACGCTTTTACTACGAATCTCAGTGATTACTCCCAAATCCCTGACGAAATGGAAGAACTTGTCACGCCAGGCGTTTGCTTCAACATTCAACGTATGGACTTTGACAAAGACAAAAATCAATACCTAATCTATCTTCAGCTAAGCCACCGCCTCAGTCGTGAGTATCGGGATTTTCTATACGTTTTTTAAACAGACAGATATATCGGGTGTCCTAAAAGTCTCTTGTGGATAAGAAATGCGTCTAACTGCATTACTAAACAAGCTTACGCTTAGAACTTTTTCTGTTTGGAAAAGGAGAGCATCAAGTTTCTTTGTTTACTACAGAGTTTTAAAAACTCTTGAAACGCTATCACTTCGAGTTGCTACTTGAGGGTGTGAGGGTGAGGGTGAGGAGAGTGTGGGTTTCGTTGGATTGAAGGGGAAGTGTGACACCCACACTCTGACCCACAACCGCACGCACCTATCGAGTCTGATAATATATATGAGCTACATAAACGGCAGGGTGTCACCATACCTGTATTCTACGATAGGACCAGCAAACAGATCTGAAGCTTCCACAATGAACTTTTCTCGTTGAGACCGTTCTCTGTGCAAATTTCCAAGTCGAAAATCGAAAGCCGGTTTTCGTTATGTTTCTGAGGGGAACCACGTTATTTACTAAAAAATACCGTTACAATGCAATATGGCGGTAGTAATAAGCTATCAGGCCGAACTCTTTTCAGAGTATTCATAGCTCATGAGATTTCACAGGATGCACAGAGTTCCGACTTCAAAGCTAGGGTACAACTCGGGTCCTTCACTCATCGGTTTACATTCTCTTTAGAATCAGAAAAGTATGAAATATCAAACACTTCAAATCAAACACAAACCAGCGAACCATCTACTCGTAATGTTGTTCTTGATAATGATGATCATCGTGCTCGTGCTATTCTTGTTCATAATATGCGTCGTCATCTTGATGAGCGTGGTCAACGTGCTGATGATAATCGTCTCCGTAGTCTTGCTCGTAATGCTGATGATGATCATATCCTTAGTCTTGTTGGTCTTGGTGATCGTGCTGATCCTGATGATATGATTGATTTCTGCTATCTTGATGACGAACTCCGTGATGCTGGTCTTGATCATTCTTCTATTGATCGTGATCGTAATCTTCTAGACAATCGCTCTAATGATATTGTGGATCGTCTTGAGAACATTCTTCGTCCTTTACGTCGTCAACTTCGTGTTTCTCGTAATCATCTTAGTGGTCATCACGATAATGTTGATGATGATCGTCCTCTTGATCCTTATCATGTTTACCTTAATTTGTTTCGTTCTCTTGATAATGTAGTTCGTGCTGCTAATGGTAGTGGTCTTCATATGGATCCCTTACCTGATATTTCTGATGATTAGAAGTGTTCACGTGGATTATGATGTCTACCATTGTTATTATCTTAGAACATTTGCTGAAATATGTTCAATATAATGTTACAGAACAACCACTAATAAAGAATATCTATCTATCTTTCTACCTTAAGGTTGAGGATGAGTTAAGACAGCCTCCGCCAGATTACCACATATCGCGGCCGGAGGTCAAATTTTATTTTTCGATTTAAACTATCAGGCTAGAAAGAGCATTCATTTTTACCTAGAAACCCAAAGTTTCTCGATTTGGGAAGGTTCAAAAAAAAGTTTAGTCTGAGTCAACTTTTTTCACCCGTTTGATCGTTTTTTATTTTATTTACACATCCACTGTGATTCGTATTTTGATTTTTTCTCGACAACGACTAGAACGATCGAGCTCGTTCAAATTTTATTTGATAGCCCCTTAATGCTGTTACAAAACACTACCGTTTTCCAAATACAAGAACAAACAGCCTACTGTCAGTGTTTTCCCTAGACTGAAAGGATAGGGTCTAGAATCGTGAATGTCTGTCTGTCTCTAAGTGTGTGTGTGTGTAACATTTGGCGTTAAATACCATAGTGTTCGGGTTGAATTTTCCCCTTTTTTGTCCTTAAATCCCTCTTGTTAGTGTGCAATTCCCTATCGTTTGAAATCATGTTTTGTTTTGTGAAACACAACTGTTAATGAGTGTTGAAATATACAGCAAGAAAGTTGGACTCTCCACAGACTGTGACAGACATGCCGACATAATATTGTGCATTTTTGGACTTCAGCCTTTCGAATTTTCATTTTCTTAAATTTTTGATTGCGTTAAAAATTTAGAAATCCAAAGGAATTCCGTTTTTTCTCCCTTGCGATGCGGCATGTTGAGCTACGTCACAGACTGACAGGCATGTTGACATGCTAGTTTGTATCTTTTTGGAATTTTGTGGGTGGGTGTCCGTGTGAGTGAGGGCGAGGGTATGTGGGTGTGGGTGTGGATGCGGGGTGATGTGGGTGTGGGTGTGGGTGTGGGTGTGGGGTGATGTGGGTGTGGGGTGGTGTGGTGTGGGTGTGGGGTGGTGTGGGTGTGGGTGTGGGGTGA